TTGGCGGATTAAATATTTCGTTAATGCTTTTGACATCACGAGATGTCACATAAACCTAAGATCTGGCAGATTTGTTCCATATACACTTCAGTTTTTATGAAGATCAACCGGGCTATGTTATTCATGAGCAACTGCTGACCACATTTGAACCACACGAGCAAGCATGTCGTGTTGACCTGTCCAGAGGTCACTCCACGCTATCACTCCAAGCTAATTTCTGTTCAATCCATCTCTCTTCACCCCTTTATTTCCTTTGTTCATTTTTTATATCAAGTTTGAAAAATACTGACATTTCACGCTGTAATGATGGCAATGTTACCGCTTCCAAGAACCTATCATAGAGCTTGTTAAGCGGACGCCTTATTTGCGTATGCAGCTATGCACAATGTAAGGAATTGAGTTGTAAGAATCATCTTCTTGTGCAGTTCTTTGGTGGGTCGAGATGCGAGGGACCTGAACGATATTTGCGCTAAAATTCTTAATTAATACATTATTAAAATATTCAAATATTTATAATTGCGTTGTGAGAACCATCTTCTTGTGCATTTCATTGGTGGGTCGAGATGCGAGGAACCTGAACGATATTTGCACTAATATTCTTGATTAATACAGTAACAAAATATTCAAATATTTATTGGTATCCTAACGCATTGGGCTAAGCAGAATTACGTTATTTGAAGAATTGCCATAAATACACATAATTCATGTTGGAGCCCGTATTTAACAATGAAAAGGAAAAGTATTAATTTGGTAAAGTTTTCGGATGTTTAACAACATAATAATATTGTCAGGAGCTACTGTCCGTTGCTATATTAAAGAGCTATATTAAAGAGTTTACTAATTTCGTAAGGGATAAGTAAGACACCATCTGTTAAGAGAACTTATCTTGATATGGCGTGCTTATGTGTGAGGGATACGATACAGGTAAAGCTAAGACGGCGACCGTTAGGTCGGAGTAATTCTAACGCGAGTGACGTCGCACTGGCGCGCTCGTTAGCTTCTGCGTGGGGCCCAACTAAGGTTCCCAGCCCTTTTATAGAGTCACGGCTTCCGCCCACTACTGAGGTCTTGATCGCGTGATCTGTCACGTGATGTTGTCCAGACGCTGACTCATGTCAAGTACTTTTCCATCAATCTCTATAACTTCTAATGAATATTGCGTATCAATTATAGATGATCATATCTTATTATATAATTCTAATGAATATGAGACGCCAGATTGACACCGGACAAAATCGTTGCAGTGCATTAAGAAGCACAAACGCTGTGTGCATGCAACATTCTAATACCCAGTAATGAAAATTTCTTTCCAGTATTTGAGCTCCTCTTTGTCCTGAAACAATTCCTTAAAAATACTAGAATTTCTCCAACTCGGCGGCTAGAAGTCAAGAAATTTTTATTATGGAAGATAATTTCATCTATTCCTTCTGCGATATTTTTACTTTTCTATAAAGAAACTATATTAGATAGGTCTGTGATAGAGCCAAGTGTTACTCTTGCCGCGTCTTCCAGTCAATGTTTGTTGTTATATGTTCTCTGCTGTGGCTGCAGCGGCAGATTTCACACTTTCGCCGCATGTACATGAACCGGTGAGCATGGCGCCGCCAGTGCTGCGTTACACTGCAGTGCAAGTGCACTATCCTACTGCCGCCGCTGATAATAGTGCTAGCTTAAGGTGGGGCTTGTATTCGCTCCGAATCCAGTTATGCCGGCTGAGAGCCTACACATGAGGAGAGGATTCGGTTAAAGGTGCTCATACACGGGCGAATAGTCGCGTTGATTAGTCGAGTCGACTAGTCTGCTCCAAATATTTCTGATGATTAACGTCTTCGGAGGCGACTAGCTGGTGCATTGCACCCAAAGCACTTAAAGTTTTTCTGGCCAGTCGAGTAAGCCCAATACCGCCTTGGCCGCTGTAGTGTGGGCGGGAGCTCCAATAGACGCACCATTGCCTGCCTCTTTGCTCAACTGACCATGTCGCACGACGGAGACTGAAGCAGAGATGTCACTGAAAGGCTTATCGATTTATAGAGAGAGGCACCTTGCTTCTGGCAAGTAAAAGGCTCTTTTTACATAGACAGAATCTTGAGAATTAGAGAAAATAAGTAAAGAAATGGAGAAATTATATCCATCCACGAACATCGAAAATGGAAATAATACTTCCTAGCTTCTCATTGACCGATTTTATCTGTTTATTGACATAGATTCACTCGTACGTCAATTAAAAAATCTTACTTATCTTATTGTACTTACAGTGTATGTATACTCAGTAAATAGTAAATAAACACATTAACCAATAATAGTAGTAGCATTTGTGAAGCACGCTGATACCTATCTAAATCTATAGACCAAAAAACCAGACATGGTTAAACATTCTGACGTATTTATTACATTTATTTTTCTCGACACATTAAAGGTATAATAAGATAATGCTGTTTCTTAATCCCTTGGTGAATGCATGTTATTACACGAATAAACTATGTTAATGAGAAGTTTGAAACCATTCTTGCGTTTCATAACTGCTATTAGGTAAATAGATCTTTGTTTCCTCCTGCGCATGGTGACAACAGCTAGTAAAGCAAGAGCGGCAGCATAATCTATTTTCAAAGGCCAGCGAGTGCGGTAGCTCAGACGGTCAGTCTCAATCCCAGCACACGCGCGTAGTGGAAATGCGCACGCCAGTTATCAAGTCCAGCCATGTGGCTTATTGGTCTCAGGCCAATCTCAATCCTTCAGAATCAGTCCCGTAGTGGAAACGGGCCTTTAGGCATTTCAAGACTGAACATATGCTCCTGCATATCTTCGTCTAGTCTGTTCTTGAAAGCGTCTTCGATCTTCATCGCTTATGCATCTATAGGTACTGGTTTACAGCTGGTTTACTTACCGTTAGCCTGGGCGGCTGAACCTGCATAGTATTTAAACCTCCATGAAACTAACTCGCTCATCTTACATTCCTGTTCGGACCAGTATAACAGAAGTTTTGAACACATTTACTTGCCGACAAATGCCCCTGCTCTTCATTTCCTCAAGCATTTTTCATATTTTTATTAACGAGCATGTGTTTTGTTGCCTGCATATAGTGTTCCAACCAGGGTTGCCAGATGGATCCAAGAAAAAAGGCCAATTTAGCTAACAAAAAGGGCAAAAAATGCCTTATTCAAAATTAAAAATAAAATTTCAAATTAAAGGTAGTTAAAATCATTTGAAGTTCACACATCTACTATAAGGCTTTCAGACAACAGAAATTACGTCAATTTCACTGAGTGTACGTTCTAAATTACCGTCCTTGCCACATAAGCTGCCAGCCTGAAGTGAATCGCACGTTATTCGCCGTTCGTACATAAAAACCGTTTAATACTAGTCATAACTACAATTTCTATGGTTAGATTTCCACCTAACAACTATAAGCTTTTTATCCACGCGACAAAATGTTGGCTCAGTTTCATTAACCAAATATGCAGTTTCGTTTGACAGCCGGTAACCTAAGTGATGAGGCGAAGTTTGTGGCATTGACGGTAGAATATGGAACATAAAAATCTATTTATTGCAAACTCATTTCTACGGTAGGAAGATGATGTAGTCACAGGAATCCAAGGTGAATTTTAAAAGTCAATGTAAAAAATATATCAAAACTTTTAATTGCCTAAAAAAAGTAGTATATTGCCTAACATAACTTGGAGCGGATTATTTTATATAAATCAAATCCAAGTAATTGAATACCTTCGAAGGCAATTTGCTGAAAAAAAATCATTTATCATGGTGACATGTCATCACGACTGACCAAAATACTAATCTACCTTAATGTCAAGTAAGCAATTGAATTTAAACAAGTTTACATGAGCGTAAAATGGATTAAGAAAAGTCAAAGTGAAATTTTTTGTGCCTCGCTCTAAAAAGCTGAAGTATAGTATAGAATAGGATCTTCGGCATTGAAGAATAGGTCTGGATAAGCCTGTCGCCGATTCTTGTACTTTTCTTGACTAGTTCGCAGAACTAAAAGACTGGCCTTTTGATCAAATATTTTCAACGAACGGTAGGTTTCAAATTGTTTATAGATTTCAGGTGTTCCGAAGGATACGAGGCATTTCATGACTAAACATATGCTCCTGCATGGCCTTGTCTAGCCTGTTCTTGAACGCGTTCATAATCGGAGGCTCGGAGCGTCAACAATATCTTCAGGGAGGCTGTTCCACATGTCGGTGACTCGAAGCGAGAAGTATCGCGAAACAGAGCTTTAACTTCATATATCACTTATAGCTGTAACCTCATATATCAGTTATAGCTGTAACCTCATATATCACTTAGGGGAGAATGATGAACAGGGAGGGGAGAACGATGAACAGGAAGGGAAGGCAGAAAAGAGAGCTGAGGAGAGTGAAGAACAGGAAGGCGAGAACAGAAGCACAGGGTAGAGAGAAGCGATGCAACGGAGACGTTTACGCTCACTACGAATTGGGTTCTATTTAAACGTGAAATAATACTAAAAATTATATTTTATGATAATTTTACCACTCTTCAGAAGGGAACTCTATACCCGACCATTATGCGCTCTCAGCTCAGCCATCCATGGTTATTAATACGAGTAGGTAACTAGATATAATCCTATGGTTCAAGTTGAAACATAGTGTTGCCAAGCTTAAACGGAAGTGTTGACACAGTTACGTGTCGAAATTCAAGTGTACTCATCTTAGGCCAAACGAAATTATACGTGAATGACGAAAAAAAATTGAGATACATATTTTCTATGAAAAAGGCCCCAAAAGGCCAAAAAAGGCCACATGAATTTTCTCAGGCCAATGCATTCAAGAAATACCACATTTGCGAAATTTGGCCTGAAAAGGGCCTGGCAACATTGGTTCCAACTGCAGAGCGTCCCACCTCCACGAACCAGCTTGGCACTACAGGCAACAGCTGCACTTGGGGCTGCGGAGGGAAGAGGGCGAGAGAGTGTACCTCCAACCTCAGCTCCAGAGTCTAGTCGACTGCACGGTGCACAGCACATGTGTCTGTTCATGTGATGATAGGCTGTCCTCATGAGTTGTTTGGCCTGATTTCGACGCACTAAATTCCATGTTTATTAACATCTTCAGAGGATTCACAATAGTCGGACAGCTGGTTTAACGTCATGAATTTTTTCTACATAGCTCGGTTGTGGGGCACTCATTTTGAAAGATTGCTGTTCTCGTAAGGACAAGGACTGTTAGACGCATTGCAGTGACGTCGGTTCCTTGAGTCTGAGAGGGTGAATGCATCCACGATGGGAAACTACACCCGTAAGCAGTTGTTAATTCTCATCGTATTCTGCATTGCACAGTTCTTCATGGCCGTGTGCATTTCTATACAAGCACCATTCTACCCACATGAAGCTGAGAAGAAAGGTGTCACAGCCACGCAGTACAGTTTCGTGTTTGCAGTTTTCGAACTGGTTGTGTTTACTGTGTGTCCAATATACGGCCAGTTCTTGGAGAGAATAGGGGCCAACTTTATGAAAAATGCTGGAATTTTTACTGTATCAGTATCGTGCATTTTATTTGGATTTCTTAACCGAATGAGCGGACCTACTGTTTTTTTAACATTCTCGTTCATCATTCGGATAATGGAAGCGCTGGGTGGGGCCGCCTTCAGCACCACAGCTTATAGCATTACAGCGCAGGAATTCCCCTTGAATGTTGCTTCTGCTTTTGCCACTCTCGAAACTTTCTTCGCGCTTGGTTTGATAGCGGGACCCATAGTCGGAGGAGCTTTGTACGAGTTGGGAGGCTTCACTCTGCCCTTTGTGGTGCTAGGCTGCCTCTTGATGGTCGCAGCAGTCGTGGTGTGGTACTTCTTACCTGTTCAATCTCTGTCTTGTTAATTATTATTTATTAATATCAATGTTATGCGTTTATTTCTCTCATTCTGTTAAGATTAGTGTCACCTAAATGTGCATTGTTTGTTTCAGATCCAAGTCCAAGAAATTTTGGGTCTATTTTTGCATAGGAATTAGGAAGTCTAGTGTAATAATTTATCCTCTGAGAGTGCTAGTGCTTCGCATATTCAGTGTCATTTTATGTGCTTTTGAAACACGACTATCGTGTTGATAAAGTCGTTTGTTTCTCTCTCCTAATATTCATAACTGCTGCCACTTAATGATTCTGCCACTTAATGATCTGTAATAAACTTATGAATGCTGTACTGCTGTAAATACCATAATGTTATTTATAATGCAGAAGAAACCTTCGGCTGCTCGCGTCTAAGTTTTATTTATACGCGGCCTAGCTTTAGATATTTTTAGTCAAGCAACTTAGCAAAAACTGTTTTCTTATGTTATTTGGTACTGAGAATTTTTCACTAAAATTAAATGTCAGTGGATTAATTAACATCCTCCTCTTGTTATAGACCCAAACTATGTTGGATATTCCACTGCGACAATTGGATGTTTAACTGCTAGCTTAAATAAAGTAATTCCTTCAGAACAAACCATATTAATTAAGTTGGTCGGATATCTTCCAGCGGATATCGGTTGTTGAATAGGAAAGACGTTGTAAATCTATCAATTTTTGAGCGTAACCAGCCTAGGAAACTTTTACCTAATAACAATCTTGCTATTAATTTTGTTCGCTAGCATTAGTTCGTTTATTATAATTAATATAGGATTTCTTGCGTTGTGTAGCGGCTTCTGGAGGACCGTTAAATCTCTTGTTCATAATCATCTATACTGTTAAAAGAGCATTTTCACCCAAAAATTTGATATAGCATTTTAATGATAATGCTTCGTTTGTGGTGTACGTACCTTCACGAATACGAATATTGTGATTAATTTCTATATTGTACGTTTTGGTAGAATGTTGCCAACTCTGCATGAAATTATCGTCCTATCGATTGAGCTCAGAAAAATGAATGGGTAATAATTTCTTAACAGCAACACTTTCTGAAATTTAAATAGCTCGAATACGCCTTTTTGCGGGCTAAAATGGATCAGGATGACCCACACAAGGGCGAAATCTCGTAGCTTTTTGGACATTTCTCCCATATTTCATGGAGTGCGCTCTTTGTATTGTCATTATCAGTAGTAATAAGTACCTAGCTGCCTTTAATACTTAAAAAATATAACTCAGTAGGTACTCACAGCAATGAGTGACAGAGAGCGCATTTTCTCGTCGACGAAAACTTGAGGTCACGGACAGACGGACGGACGGACAGACAGACAGACAGACGGACATGGCGAGCACAATAGTGCATTTTTTCCATAAATGAGGAAATGTTCTAAAAATGCATGTCGAAATGACGATTTACCCCTCACCCCATAACACTTATTTATTCAAGAGCAAGGCTGCCGCCAATTGTACGACAAAGGGCTTTTTGCTTCGTTTTTAGTGCATTTTCTCATTTAAGTAAAAAAGACGCTATTGTGCTCGCCATGTCGTCCGTCCGTCTGTCTGTCCGTCCGTCTGTCCGTGACCTCAAGTTTTCGTCGACGAGAAGATGCGCTCTCTATCACTTACTGCAGTGAGTACTGAGTTATATTTTTTTCTTTATATTCCTCGTTGGTTTTCTTCTATATTGTCTTTGGATTCATAATCCAGGTAAGACAAGTTGGGTGTTTATTGTTGTGAATAAATTTAGCTTTTGCACTTGATAGTTTAATTCGCGGCCTCACTATTATACGTATGAATCATGACATTCAACGAAGATATGAATTATGTTATCTATTATGTATGTTATGATAACTTAATTTCTATAGAGGATAACAGCTGATTGCTGATAACTGAATTTCTAGAGAGGATAACAGCTGATCATTAATAACTGAATTTCCAGAGAGGATAACAACTGATCGCTGATAACTGAATTTCTAGAGAGGGTAACAGCTGATCGCTGATAACTGAATTTCTAGAGAGGATAACAACTGATCGCTGATAACTGAATTTCTAGAGAGGATAACAACTGATCGCTGATAACTGAATTTCCAGAGAGGATAACAACAGGATAACAACTGATCGCTGATAACTGAATTTCTAGAGAGGATAACAGCTGATCGCTGATAAATGAATTTCTAGAGATGATAACAGGACTGATCGCTGATAATTAAATTTCTAGAGAGGATAACAGCAGATCGCTGATAACTGAATTTCTAGAGAGGATAACAGCTGATCATTAATAACTGAATTTCCAGAGAGGATAACAACTGATCGCTGATAACTGAATTGCAAGAAAGGATAACAGCGCTTATCGCTGATAACTGAATTCCTAGAGCGGATAATAAGGTGATGGTGAGCTGTTATGACCCACTCACAGAGTATCGAAAACTAAGACCACTTATGGCTGAGGCAAACCCTGCAAGTAAACTACCGAGATCGACCTAAAGTATACATAATAATAATAATAATAATAGCCATTTGGCAGCGTTAATTGGCAAGATGTTTGTTCAAAGCTTGTTGAAGATTCATCGCGGAACGCAAAGCTTCTTGCGCAACTTACACGCAACTTTCAAAATAATAACAATCAGTTAAGTATAATAATTAAATAACTTACTCAACTAAAATTGCTCGTTATAAAATCAAATGGGCGATCTCGTACAAATTATTTAAGTTGCAACGAAAAAATTATTTTCTACTGAAAATGAACAAAAGAAACTGATTAAGATAAATATATCGTTCGTCGTCATTATAAACATAAACTCGTGCAATAGAAAACATTCAGCTAGAAACCATATGAGTTCTGTGAATTTTGCAATATTTCATATGGAGAAGGATCACAATAAAATGGTAAACGGTAGTGAAAATGCACGGGTGAGCAGAAAAAGGAGAAAAAAATCGAACAGATCGTTTTTTATATATATGAATCTATGGTTGATCTATGATTTCATTAAACTAATGGCATTAATGCCTGCACAAAACCTTTGGGGATAAATTCAAATTCAGAGACGATCTGTAAAAAAATATTCGTCCCGAAACGAAGTTATCATTCAATTGAGATACAATCATGCTTTTGACAAGCGGAGTATTACAGTACGTAAACCAAAAAAAGTGAAGCTTTTAGTATCATACGACAGTGATAATAGAAAATACTAGCATCTTAAGAAATATCATTGTGCGAAAATTATCGAAATAATAAAAAAAAATTTGAATAAATTACCAACGTGTTCCTAAATGAAACAATTTTTAAATAATAATTTTCAAGTAAATTCTATTGAACTAGCCATATTGTTGAACTTGAAATTTTGAAATTTTACAACGTATCGCCATCAGAGCTTCCATGTTTGCCGTGAACGTAAGTTAAAAGTAAGTCAACAATTACCTGATTTAATCCACACACATATACGAGGAATTAAGAAGTCTCCCGTTAAAAGATGAAATTCGCGAATTATGTCTCAATATTCGAGCAAAATAATGAGAATGTGTCGGACCAAAATTAAAGTTTATATTTTCGTCCCTATATTTCAGTAATTTAAAACATCGTTTTTTTTAAATATTTAGTCAAATACTTGAATAAATAAATATTTGATTGCCCTTGAATGTTAATCGTTACATTCCCCACCATCTTCAATAAGTTACTTTTACTTTTTTCCATTGATTAGCTAATTTATCGTGTTATCTCGACAGTGAAGATCGGAAGAAAACTTTCGTTCTGGGTGGTCCGGTTTTAGCGCGTGCATTATAAATGCATTTCGGTAAATCGTTGTACATTCTAGTCAATATTATGCAGACGACCGTTCACCTTCAGTATTATTACTTTGACTTCGGGAGATATTTTTTGTAACGCTGCAAGCTGTTTTGCTTAGTGTTACTATGACCAAGTGGACGGGGGTACTATGACTAAGTGGACGGGGGTACTGTGACCAAGTGGACGGGGGTACTATGACCAAGTGGACGGGGGTACTGTGACTAAGTGGACGGGGGTACTATGACCAAGTGGACGAGGGTACTATGACCAAGTGGACGGGGGTACTATGACTAAGTGGACGGGGGTACTATACAAAGTGGACGGGGATACTATGACCAAGTTGACGGGGGTACTATGACCAAGTGGACTGGGGTACTATGACTGTTTGCCTTCGAGCAGGACACGAATAGAACGTCCACTCATCTCTGAGCCGAGAATATTAATTACTAATTAATAACTCATTAGATATAATATAATACTGCCTATATGACAGCTAGTGTGATTAGTGAAACGCTCTCTTATGGGAATTTTAGCAGATAATATTGATGAAAATATAATAACGAGAAGTATTTTTTCTTGATATGATTCAATAATTACCAGAATATCAAATTCCGGGTATTCATGAAGAGAACTGGTTCGAAGAGGAATTATTGCTCCAGAGGAATTAAATACAGAGGAATTATTGCTGAATTACTGAGAGCATATACAGGGTTATTCTAAATGATGGACCCAATTTACTAAATTCATATTTATAAGGGTGTAAATTCAAGAAGGAAAAATTTATACATCAATGGAAAGAGAAAGATTAAAAAATTTGTTAACTTTTAAAACGCGGAATTGGGCGGTTGCGGCAGTGGTAGTTGCAGAAACGGCCGCTATAGTTCTCGCGCCAGCCAGCCGCCTTGGGGTTTGTTTCGGAATTTTCACTGTTCCCTTTACCATGTTTTACTGGTTATCATTTTTAGAGCTGTTAAAACAGTTAGGTACTAATTAAACCCAGTTTAGGCAAGGGGCTTTATGGAATATGGACTAGTTTCCAGTGCTCCTATAAGAATAAATAAGAAAGAAAAAGGGTTTGTTTTAGTTTCACTGCCACTTGTGAGTGAGATGGCTTCTGTGCAGCACAGGGATTTCTGCGTTCTTGAGCTTGTTAAAAGTGAGCAGCGAATTACATTGCAGCAGGCATTTTGTCTCAAATTCCGTGTTGAACCACCGGCAAGAAAAACCATTAGCCTTTGGTTTAAGTGATTTAAACAAACAGGAAGTGTGTGTGTAAAAGATAAAGTTCAAGCCGATCACGTGGATCTGAGGATGACGTAAGACAAATTGAAGAAAGTTTTATTCGCAGTCCACACCACGTAAGTAAACTAATAGTGCTAGTAGAGAACTTGGCATACTCCAAACAATTGCATGGCAAGATTTGCGAAAACGTTTACTGTACAAGCTCCAGCGATTAAAACTAGTGCAGGATCTAAAACTTAATAACAAAGTGAAGCGCATTGTTTGTGATGTAATGATACACAGGCAGGAGGATTGTTGATTTCTACAACGTATGGTTTATAGCGATGAAGCTACGTTCCACCTCGATGGGAAAGTCACAACTTGAATTACTGCTATTATTTAATTATTGCTTCTTATTCTCAGAGATAACTCTGACATTAATGGTCACTGCGGGACGTATCTCATTCATTGGCTTACGCAATACCGCAGCTTTTAAGTGTGACCCAGCCTGATGAGGGACAGAGCCTGACGGAGTCATGTTATGAATACTTGCTGCTAATTATTGATAACTTGATGAACTTTAGCTTTGAAGTTCTACAGAACCCATTGACGCTTATATTTTGAATTTTTCTAGTCCATATGAATATTCTTAAACTCTGTTAGGCAATCTTTTATTGAATTAATTCTAAAGAATATTCAAAATATTTTCATAGTAGTTCATACATCTTTATAATATGATGAGGTTATTTATATCAGTTAGGCCTTCGAATATGCAGTTTTTATAACTGGTTTGAAATTAGAAAACGATTCTGGGCATACTGATGTAAACCTCTTCCGTACTGAAGTTGCTTGTCAAGTATATATTATAAAATCTCTTGCTATTACCCTCGGCAATCGTCAATGTTGATCATGAATTTACTTTAAATGTTCTCGAAAGCTGTTTTGGTATTATTGCAGATTAACTACATCCAAAAAAAGGGTGTTTTTTTTTAATTATATGTTTTTTGGGGTGTAGATTACGAATCTGAAATCCATTTTTGGCGGTCGGCATCGGAAAACCGATTTTTTTGTATCTCCAGATTTATGGACAAAGAAGACGAAAATGTTACCCGTTGCAGTGCAACGGGTAACATTTTCGTCTTCTTTACCCGTTGCAGTGCAACGGGTTAGGCATTTTTAGCGCGATTTTTGGGTCGAAAAAAAAATCGGTTTTCCGATGCCGACCGCCAAAAATGGATTTCAGATTCGTAATCTACACCCCAAAAAACATATAATTAAAAAAAAAAACACCCTTTTTTTTGGATGTAGTTAATCTGCAATAATACCGCTATTTGATATTGTAATCTTTGATACGCTCTGCTACAGTAGGCAAAATATTTTAGATTCGGACGTTAGATATTTTCGCTTTCGCTAGATTGTATAGGTGAGATGGCACCGCTGTTTTAGGTGCTTGCACAAGGGGATAGTGCAGACGGCTAGTAGATCTGGCAAATGTCGGCCGCTTGGTGACTATCTGGCAAGTAAGCCTGTACACGATGACAGTTATGTTGCCGATATCTTCTCGTTCGCGCCCGCCAGTGCGTCGTTAGAAGCCGTCGAGTGAAGTCTGTGAACATGGATAGTGGGATCATCTCCGACTACTCGAGTCTGTACGTCGTATTTATACTCTTTATTGTAGCCTTTAAAAAATGCATAGTCGGGAACAACTAAACCCTGACTAATGAGGTTTTTCAGTTCAAAAATACTACTCGTTATCTCTTCATTTTGTTGGGGTAACCAGCACGGCAAACATTCCACGTTAATTCATATTTTTTGGAATATCTCGAAGAATAATTTCTCAACAATTTTTTGAAACAATTTCGTTTAACTTCCAAAACGCTACTTCATCAATTAGTTTTTGTTGTAATATTCATCGTGACGTACGTTCCACAGTAGATCGTACTTTTAGAATATCTATAAGAAAAGTTCAATATCAAATGAACACCTTTTGACATTCTTAGAACCGTCGTCGTTGGGAAAGAAAGCACGTACTGAGTGTACGTTCTGAATTACCGTCCTTGCCACATAAGCTGCCAGCCTGAAGTGAATCGCACGTTATTCGCCGGTCGTACCTGAAAACCGCTTAATATACTAGTCATAACTACAATTTCTATGCTTAGATTTCCACCTAACAACTATGAAGCTTTTTATCCACTCGAGAAAATATTGGCTCAGTTTCATTAACCAAAAATGCAGTTTCGTTTGAAAGCCGGTAACCTAAGTGATGAGGCGAAATTTGTGGCATTGACGGTAGAATATGGAACATGAAAATCAATTTATTGCAAAATCATTTCTACGGTAGGAAGATGATGTAGCCACAGGAATCCTAAGGTGAATTTTAAAAGTCAATATTAAAAATTTATCAAAACTTTTAATTACCTAAAAAAGTAGTATATTATCTAACATAACTTGGANAGAATAGGGGCCAACTTTATGAAAAATGCTGGAATTTTTACTGTTTCAGTATCGTGCATTTTATTTGGATTTCTTAACCGAATGAGCGGACCTACTGTTTTCTTAACTTTCTCGTTCATCATTCGGATAATGGAAGCGCTGGGTGGGGCCGCCTTCAGCACCACAGCTTATAGCATTACAGCGCAGGAATTCCCCTTGAATGTTGCTTCTGCTTTTGCCACTCTCGAAACTTTCTTCGCGCTTGGTTTGATAGCGGGACCCATAGTCGGAGGAGCTTTGTACGAGTTGGGAGGCTTCACTCTGCCCTTTGTGGTGCTAGGCTGCGTCTTGATGGTCGCAGCAGCTATTGTGTGGTACTTTTTACCTGTGGAAGGTAGTTGCGCCAGACCACCTTCAAGATACTCGGTGTTTTCGCTTATGAAGAAACCAAAAATATTCCTTTTCGCATTTACTACAATGTCGGGGTCTCTCAGCGTTGGCTTCTTGTTTTCAACTCTGGAGCCCCACATACGTCCGTGGAATCTCACTCCTCTAGAGATCGGCCTAATCTTCGTTTTAGACGGCTTCGCTTATGCCGTTTCTGCGCCAATTTGGGGCCTTTTATGCGACAGATGTCTTCCAGAGCGAGCTGCTACAACGATGGGGGCTTTAACAGCCACAGTGGCTTTCTTACTGTTGGGTCCTTCACCCATTCTACCCATTAAAAACAGCATACCACTGTGCATCTGTGCCTTGGTTGTTCATGGCCTTGGGTTCGGGGCCGAGTTTGTGGCCACTTTCAGCGGAATGCATAAGGAAGCCGTCGAGGCTGGGCTCCCGGACGATCTCACAACCTACGGACTAGTGTCCGGACTCTGGAATTCTTCTTTTGCTCTTGGCGCCTTCATCGGGCCATCTATCGCCGGGGTCATGTTTGACAGCGTTGGATTTGGTTGGGGCACCTCCATCATTGCCCTGCTTCACCTATTTGTGGCCATTGTCACAATCGTTCTATCTTGCTACTACCGCTACTACCCAGACGAAGATCTTTATGAAAAAATGTCTCTTTTTCAACGACCTATACGAAAAAGTGAATCCGCCTACTCCACGTATGACGGCGACTGCAACTCAACCCGAGTATCTCGCGAGGATATCGCCATAGGTACAGTTGATTAAATGATTACGCTTAGGATATTACAAAAATGGTTTTGCATATTTTCACTTGTTGGCATATGCCTCACAGCCGAGGAAAGGCTGTCGTAAGTCAAGTAATTTACTAGTTTCGCAAGTTTGTTATGATTCCTAATCCCTAAGAATAATTTTTTTTGTTGAGGTTGAACTCAGTTTAGTTTTTGTTAAGGATGAACATTTGGTGGAACTCAGATTGCGTGAGACGAATTAAATTTTATTATGGATGTAAATTCAGCTTCTACCTTTACTCAGCACCTACGAAGAGTCCTAGTTCCTAGAGTAGCTCACGAAATCCTTTGATTCGTGTTTGAGCTACTTGCTTGAAAATCACATAATGCTCATTTGAATCTGTAGACTGCAACTAATGCAGCGAATTTTTTGCTAACACGAGATGAGGAATGGATGAAACCTTTCGTACTTACGAGTTATGTGCTTGTAGTTATGCAGTCTCGATTGCATATGGTGGACTTACAGCTTTCATGTGCTCGTGCAAACGAATCAATTCCCAATCTCTGTCCTGTTTATTATTAATATCGATGTCATGCCTTTATTTCTCTCATTCTGTTAGGATTAGTGTCACCAAAATGTGTATTGTTTCAGATCCAAGTCCAAGAAATTCTGGGTCTATTTCTGCATAGGAATTAGGAAGTCTAGTGTAATAATTTATGCTCTGAGAGTGCTAGTGCTTCGCATATTCAGTGTCATTTTATGTGCTTTTGAAACACGACAATCGTGTTGATAAAGTCGTTTGTTGCTCTCTCCTAATATTCATAACTGCTGCCACTTAACGATTCAAGACTTTGATCTGTTATATAACTTATGAATGCTGTACTGCTGTAAATACCATAATGTTATTTATAATGCAAAAGAAACCTTGGGCTGCTCGTGTCTAAGTTTTATTTAAACGCGGCCTAGCTTTAGATATTTTCAGTCGAGCAACTTAGCAAAAACTGTTATCTTATGTTATTTGGTACTGAGAATTTTTCGTTAAAATTAAATGTCAATGGATTAATTAACATCCTCCTCTTGTTATAGACCCAAACTATGTTGGATATTCCACTGCGACAATTGGATGTTTAACTGCTAGCTTAAATAAAGTNACTGATCGTTGATAACTGAATTTACAGAGAGGATAACAACTGATCATTGATAACTGAATTTCCAGAGAGGATAACAATTACTAATGGTTGATAACTGAATTTACAGAGAGGATAACAACTGATCATTGATAACTGAATTTCCAGAGAGGATAACAACTGATCGCTGATTACTGAATTTCTTGATCGAGAGGATAACAGAGTAATAGTGAGATGTTATGACCCGTTCACAGAGTATCGAAAACTAAGACTACTTATATGGCCGAGGAAAACCCAGCAATTAAACTACCGTGATCGACCTAATGAATACATAATAATAATAATAATAATAATAGCGGTTTGGCAGCGTTAATTAGGCCGTGGGTCTGTCGCGGATTCATCGCGGAACTTAAAGCTTCTTGCGGTCTCGAACACGCAACTTACTGCTTCTATTCGGCTGTGCTTAACCGCCCGGCCTCCTCGCCGATTCTGACCAGAAACTGGCGCACAGAGCTGGGACCGAACCCGCACCTCTCTGCGCCAATCTTGGTACTCTGAACTGTAATTGCCTGTTGTGAGTACAGCAAAATCTTAAATCATCGATAGCAATATTACGACCGAAAATTGATTACATAATAATAAAAATCTGTTAAGTATAATAATTTAATAACTTGCTCAACTAAAATTACTCGTTATAAAATCAGATGGGTGATCTCGTACAAGAATATTTATTTAAGTTGCAACGAAAAATTTAATTTCTACGGAAAGTGAACGAAAGAAACTGATTCAGAAAAATAGATAGTTCGTCGTCACTAAATATAAACTCGTGCAGTAGAAAACATTCAGCTAGAAACCATATGAGTACTGCGAATTTTACAATATTTCATACCTACAGAGAAGGATCACAATAAAATGGTCAACGGTAGCGAGAATGCACGGGTGAGAAGAAAAAGGAGCAAAAAAATGGAACAGATCGTTGTTTAGTATATTTGAATCTATGGTTGATCGCATTATGGTTGTGCAAACGAATCGCATTAATGCCTGCACAATACCTTTGGGGATAAATTCAAATTCAGAGACGAGCTGTAAAGAAGACTCGTCCCGAAACGGAGTTAACGTTTATTAGCGACATTTAGTACCACAATCAAACGAGTATCGTCTTTAACGAACCGTTCTAACAACGTTGAATGCACTCCTTTTAAATTCATAATTATGGTAATTCTGTGAGTTTGAATACAATGTTGGGAGATATCGCGTATTGCAACGTACGTGGGCAAGATCTATTTAATTGGAAGATTTTGGTTGTGAGAAGCACGGGTCAGCTGGGAGAGGTGTTTAAGTTTTGTAAAAGTTCTATGCCAAGGTAACACAAAAAATTTATTGATATTTTAAAAGATCGTTATTAAAAAAAGATCGTTATTGTTTTGGAAATTTGTACTTTTTAGTGGATAATTGAGTACATCTATCACTTCCCGGTTATTGTATGAATGAAGTTGCTTATTTCCAAATGTATACTGAATGTCTTATATTTATTCATTATGCACATGACATAAAGCCAACAGTAAAAGCCAGTCGAAGAACCTCCCTCCTTCATCGCAGCTCTAATTCATCTAATATTGAATATGTCAGCGATTAATCAATCGAGCACACCTGCTGCTGGCAGCCAATGACGTCAATCTGAATTAATGTCCTCGCACTTAATTATTTATCATTAACAGCCTCGAATTTAATTATCAATTGAACTTTTACATGATTATATGAATGCTGGTTCTGTTAGTTCACCTTCCGAGGTGAACAAAGGATATACAGCAAACCAATCCGCCTATTGTGAACTACGCGTACAGTAATGAAACAATTGTACGACATTGGTCCAGAATATTCATTTTGATTATTCAATACTCGTCACTGTTAGACTCAATGGCGTCAAAGAATTCGTTTCAGGGCTTTTTTCTTTATACCTACAGTCCACTTTAATAAACTAACAAATTAATTTGCTGTATTGCGCTTGTTGATTTTAAAGCGAAGATGCATTCTGGCCTGACCTACATGTTGCATTTCCTTATAAAAGCTATATAATATACATCATATTACTATTTGTATATAAATAAAGCACAATAATATTTTTACAGATAAAACTACACAAAATTAGTTAAGCCAATGTTAGTGCTGTGCTCACTCCGTTCAATTAAGCGATGAAAAATACTAACGAAGTCAATCAAATGACAAATTGGAAATTTTAGGTGCTAATTTTCAAAACTATTGAGAGCGATTCGTCAAAAAACGAGCAAGATGTCCCCAGTTAAAACTTATCGCTATCAATCAACAGCGCAGTAATTAGGATTTCAATTTCGACGTAGAAATGTTGTGCGATGAATAAATTCAATTTAAATCAACTTTAACTTAAGTGTAAATGTTTCAATTGAACTTATTTAAATTATTGACAAATATTAAAACAATTTCTGCTGAAGCTTCCTGATTGTTTTTGGATTCGCATATTATATTACAAGCAATGTGTTATATGTTGGTGTTAATTAGATTACGTTGGTTTAATTAAAAATACTCGATTCCAAATAATTGAAAGAACAGAATTCAAACAATATTTATTATCATTTTATTAATTGGAACATTATTATTAACATATACATTACTGTTAACATTATTTACAATTTACATACACACTTTTTTTGCATACATCCATTTTTTATCCGTAATATCCTATAGTTTTTAGGTATGCATTTTGAGCTATTAAGTCGAGACCAATAAGTACGAGACCAACGTGAGGCATATATGTGGATTCAATTTACGAGTTTTATTCACTGATTGAAAGTGATAGCACTTCATTGTGTATCTATAGTTATATATAAATTCTGAGGATGGCTGTCAAAAACAGAAAACGGTCTCAATGCACATTCGAGGTATAAGAGGCAGGTATTAAAAAATGTTGTTTCAAAAATAGCGTAGAGTGGCTGGTGTCTCTCAACCATCTTATTTCTCGTACTTTAGTTACCAAAATATAATTATGACGTTAGTCAACCGACATTTTACTGCTTTGCAAATGATTTTGTTATATTTTCAAATCGCCATTCCAAATATCGAGGATGCTTCAACAGGAGGTCCTATTAGAAGTTTATATAGGAGCCCACAATGCCGCGGATGTATTAGCCAAGATGGTTGCTCTTCACCTTCTTCATGGAATCTTTCTCCATGTTCAAAACTAACTGCTCCATGGCTTGGCAATAAATATTCTTTAAATAATCTTTCTCCATGCTAATCACTACCTGCTCCATGGTTTCCCTATAAGTGAAGGTTGGACAGATAACAATATCCGCGAGTGACATTCAGCCTCCGGATTATGTTCCATCATTTAAGTTCAGAATCACAGGACTCTATCCGCTGTTTTAGCTCAGACTCAATGTGTCCCGAAGATATTGACCGGATACAATAATTCTTATACAACATTACTTCATCTCATGAGGACAAAATCCTTGTGCACTGGGCCCTTGGAAATCATCTTTAATTAAAGAGAACGGGCCTAGAAACGGATGAATATCTAGGATTTCCAATATTTTTTAATGTTTCTCCTTAAATATTGATTGCAATCAGTTATAAGCCATTTATTTTAATTGGTTTATAGTTTGTTAAATGTTAATTTGGCATAAATAACAGTCGTTAGCACATCTTTGTATCTCCCTCTACAACAAATAAAAAACAAAGCAGGAGAACACAATAACTATAATATAAGCTAATTAAGAGAATAAAAATATTTCGATAAACCTTGGATGAATTATGCCTTTATTCAACTTAAATGTACATGCACAAACTTATAAAAGATGTGAAAACATTGATCTAAAATTAATAATATGCAGCTCCTCTAAATTAGTGAAAAATACGAATTGATAGGCTTATGTTAGTTTCCTTGTATAACCGGTGGAAAAATTGTTTCTTTAGTTATGATTCCTAATGTGATTCATTCGTTTATTATTTTCAAAATTGTCATTTTTCATTTCAGGAATTTTCATTCTTCATTTTCAGAGTTTTCAATCATAATTTTCAGAATATTAGTCTCCATTTTCAAAATTTACTTTCATTATTTTTATTTTAAAGCTTTCATTCCTCATTTTCAGACTTTTATTTATTTTTTTTTAATATGTTTCTTTCATTTTAAGAATTTTCATTCTTCATTCTAAGAATTGATATACTTCATTTTCAAAATTTCCATTCTTCGTTTTCAGTTTTCATTCTATAACGGACATATTAAAATTCGATTAACCTATTCACACGGATCTCAATTTTTTATGACGCCGAATAAATTCTGTCCACTAGTAATTAATATCTCTGCTCTCCTGAGCAATGGCGTTGATTGCAGCACCAGATGTTTTTAGAGCGATTTATTCTGACGGTGAAA